AATTAGTTTAAATTTGAAGAGAACTTCACTGAATTCTGCTTAAGATTGCATGAAGCAGGCCTGAATGCCCATTTCTTTAATATCAAGGCGTGTAATGCATCTCCTTCCGTCCCTATGCATGGACGAAATCACTATTTCAATCATAAAAAGTATAAACAAGAGAGAAAATGCTTAGGAAAGCCTAGTTAACAGGAGGCTCGGGTTTAATATATTTAGAGCAAGGATAGTGTAGTGTAAGAAACAAACAATGAAAGACTCAAAACAAAGAACAAAAATTATCAATACTATTCAATCAAATTATGACTATTGTTCCAAGCATTGTGCTTTTGTTGAGTAATAAAACTCAAACTAAATTATTTTATGAAGTCCCAACTGATCAGATTTAGAGTTCAATGTTGTCATTCAAAGTGTCCTTATGTGTTTATGTCATTCATCATAACATCAATAGTGTTAATGGAAGAAAGAAGGGAGAGAAGAGACGATTTCATTCACAAAAAATGTGCCAAGGACGTAGGATACAAGATATACCCTAAACCTAGACATGTGTCCCAAAAGGTAAGGTCCTATACTGTCAATAACTAATCTGTAATGCAGAAATATATGAAAAGACAATAATAACCTATCAGCATAAAGACAATAAAGCCATCAAATAACCATAAAATAGCATAACACGTGTAACAATACTCCCCCCCTAAAAAACATCCTTGTCTACAAGGATAGTGGTAGAGCGGGAGCATCTGTCTGAAAGTGAGGGAACTGCTGTTTTACGGCTGAAAGATCTTCCCAAGTAGCGTCTTCAGGTTGAGAAAATTTCCAGCGAACCAGCACTTGAGTCACCGGTAGATTATAGCACTTAATGATTTTTCTACCCAGTAATTCCTCTGGTTCCAAACATAAACTGACCATGATCATCCACTGGGGGTAAGGTGGGGGTAGTGGGGACAGCCGTGCTAACATACTTTTTTAACGTGGAAACATGAAAAACTGCGTGGACCTTAGTGTGAGGAGGAAGGTCCAGTTCATATGCAACTTCCCCAAGACGCCGTAACACACCTTGAATGGGCCAAAGTAACGAGCAGCTAGCTTATGCAAGGAAGAGCTGTTCAAGAGATTCTTTCTAAAAAGGTGTAGTTTGAGAAAAACATGTCTCCTTCAACAAATTTTCGCTCAGACCAGTGCTTATTAGCTTGTTGAATCATCTTATGTTGAGCCTTCAATAGGTGTTGTTTCAAAAGCTGAATAGTAAGCTCCCGTGAATTGCAAGTTCTATCAACCATTTCATTAGATGAATCACCAGCAATGTAGGCAGATGAGTAGGAGGAGGCACCCATAAACAGCTTCAAAGGGAGACATACCAATGGAAGAGTAGAAGGTAGTATTGTACCATAATTCAGCAAGTGGCAGCCATTAACCACTGTTTAGGAAAATCTCCCGACATGCACACGGAGGTAACACTCCAAACAGCGTTGAGTACCTCAGGTTGGCCATCCGTTTGGGGGTGATATGCTGAAGAAAATTGTAATTTGACCCCATACAGCTTGCGAGTTCCTTCCAGAATTTCCCACAGAAAATAGGATCCCGGTCTGAAACAATAGACTTAAGAAACCCATGCAACTTAATCACATTATCCATGAGGATATTAGCCACATCTACAGCAGTAAATGGGTGCTTGAGAGCCATGAAATGAGCAGCCTTAGATGAACGATCAAAAACAACTAAAATAGTAGTCTTAGAGTAAGATTTGGGAAGGCCACTAATAAAGTCCATTGAGAGCTCGGACCAAATATGTTCCGGAATGGGTAAGGGTTGGAGAAGACCAGGGGAGGCAATTAATTCTGGTTTAAAGTGCTGACATGTAGTGCATTGATGTACAAAATTGCGAACATCCTTTTCCATTCCTTTCCAATAAAAAAAAGAGGCAAGCCGTTTGTAGGTGGGAGTCATACCTAAATAGCCCCCAATGCCATCAACTTGAAAAAACTGAAGTAAAGACTCTCGAAGACCTCGATCAGCACCCACCACCAGCTTACCCTTTCGTTTCAACAATTGGTGTTCCCAAGTGTACCTAGGATAAGAAAAGGGATTAGTTTCCAGACTTCTAATCAGCTGCTGTAAATGGTCATCAAGAAGCCAAGAATCACATACCCTCTCATATAATGGAGAGATTGGCATTGAAATGGTCAAACAGTCCCCTTTGGAACGCCTAGATAAAGCATCAGCTGCAGCGTTATCACATCCTTTGTGGTAAACGATTTCATAGTCGAGCCCCCAAAGTTTATGCAACCACTTACACTGCTCTTGACTCAAGTCACGTTGCTCCAAGAGATGCTTCAAAGGTAAATGGTCAGTACGGATGATGAATTTGCGTCCCCAAAGATAAGAACGCCACTGCTTGACAGCAAAAACAATGGCCAACAATTCACGCTCATACGCAGACAATTGTCTCTTACAGTAGGAAAGTGATAGAAAATATGGCAAATATTACTTTAGGAGGAAATATTTATTACTTCTTATTACCTTTCATTAGTTTATTAGTTTTGTTGTTTTTCATTTAACTTTTGTAAGTTTCCTTCTTGTGAAGGAAACCAAGCAGCAAGTGGATTCTTATTACTTTTCATTAGTTTATTAACTTTTGTAAGTTTCCTTCTTGTGAAGGAAACTAGGCAGCAAGTGGATGTTTCCTTGTTAGGAAGGAAACCTCATGCTTATAAATAGCATGACTTGTATTCAGGAGGGAAATGAATGTTTGAAGCATTATGATTTTCTGAAAGCTCCCTCTCTCTCTTCAGTTCTGCATCTCTCTTCTGTTCTCCCTCTCATATTTCAATCACTTCTCTCTCTTTCACCTTCTCTGTTCTCACTTCCCCTCCACCTCCCACACTCTGTTTCTGTTTCTTCTCCCTTATTCTATTCTGTTCAAATTAGTGTGAGCGTGAGTGTTTGTGTTTACATCAACTTGGTACCAGAGCCTGGTTCTGAACGTTCCTAGGCTGTTTCCGCAACCGGAGATCGAAGGAAAACTCTCAGGGGAGCTCAGCATACTCTGTTCACGCTGCCAGCACCCAGAATCACATTTCCTGACGTCAGATCCAAAAATGGACGCTACCATCGTGCTCAAAAGGGAAAATCCGGTTAGAACCAGAAAAAACCACCTCCGCCCGAAGCCACACGCGCCGTCACTCGCCGTGGAGCTTCTGTGCGTGGTCTTCACGCGCCTCACGCGCCGTCACGCGCGCCGTCCGTACATTCGCCGCGAGAATGTGATTTCAGTGTTTTCTGTGTGTTTTCACGGAATTTGTTCAACTTTGAAGGAGCTGAGGGGCACAAGTCATCATCTAAAAACTTAGTTGGGGGTAAAACTTTTTGTTTTGGGCTCCTAAAGCAACGCTAGTAAGGCTGACGACCCTCTCATTTAACTGGCTTATTTGGTTCTTAAAGGAAGGTGTTTCATTCATAGCTAGTTCTGAAATCTTTGTTGTGCGGTACTTGGGTTTCTTTGAGCATTGCAATTTTTATTTTATTTTTATTTTTTTAATCATGTTTTAATATTTTGAAAAATATATATATATAATAAAAGGGAAAATTTACATTGATCATTATGTTGTTAATTTGTGACTTTTGATAGCAGTGTTCGTATAACCTAAGACACCTACCTTACACACAATCCTGCCCTACACTCGTGTCCAAAAAATTACCCTAGGTTAGTTGAAGCTTCTAACGGTTTTCCTGAAAGGTTTTTGAACCTTTGAAGATTTCTGTGAAGACTTCACTCGAATTGTTACCTATTTAGCATACGATCCCTGTGGAATTTTTGAATTCTCAGAGGGTTAGTGTTGTTAAAAAAGGGACTTCACCTATTTAGGTGAGAGCAACTTAGGGGCCTTTCTTCCTTAGGTTATTAAATCCACTCCAAACTTGCACTTTACCATACCATCTTTGTCATTGTATGACCATTCGTGATTTATACGATAAGCAAGCTTTATTAGACAAGAAATTACTGCCCTAAAATCTGTCATGGCTAATAACTCCCAAATCACCCAAAATCATCTTGAGGACTCTGAAAGGACTCAAAGGGCATATGTGGACCAGCGGCTAGATGAAATTAAAGAATTCATGGACAATAAATTTGAAGAGATAATGGGTGCAATTCAGTTGACATACAGACAAGATACAGGGAAAACAACTGGAGGGATACTCAAAAGACCTATCATTAGAGGAGAGTCAAGTCTTAAAAATGAACAATTCCCAGTCCACAATTAACTTAGAGGTAATTCCCTTAGGATTGGTCATTCCTCTAGAGCTAGGGGTGAAAGACACAGTAGAACATTTCCTCATGAGTTTACCAATCATCATTCTGATGACATAGATGATACTTGGGATGGGCAAGGGCCTGAAGATCAACATCATAGACCATACTAGTTAGTCCATAGGAATGGTAGAGAAGGCCTTAGAAGAAAACATATTGATGACATCACCAAAAAGGTTAAAGTTGAAGCTCCTGAGTTTGATGGACGATTGAATCCTAGTGCATTCTTGGATTATTTTGAATGGTATGACATGAGAGATATTCAGCGAGTTCGGTTTACGAAGATGAAGCTCGTGGGATCTGCTAGGAAATACTGGCAAAATGTCCAAAGGAACATGAGCGACAAGGTTATCCATCGATTGAGACGTGGGATGAAATGAAGGCCAAGCTGAAAGAAAAATATGTGCCGACTCATTATAAGAGTCAACTGTATGACAAAATACCTTAATTTGAGGCAAATCTCCACAGCTTCCGAGTATATTTCTTAATTCGATGACCTTATGATTAGATGTGACATGGATGAAGAGGAATGGCGCAACATTACCAAGTTTGCTAATGGTCTCAAGCCATATATACAAAAGGAGCTCAAGTTAAACTTTCCAGAGTCTCTTGAAGAAGCTTATCATAAGACTTTGGAAGTAGCGTCTCTCTCACAGTACTCGTCTACAAAGCGTATCGATGTGCAGAGCAATCAATTTAGACAAGCACAAACTTCCAGTTGTCTGAACGACCAACAGGAGCACTTACATCTAGGCCTAGCTCGTCTTTTACACCTACTCAAGCAATTGGGTTAAGGGGTAATACATCTAAACAGCCTAGTGAGGCTATAGTCCTGCTTCCCGCCATAACAATTCCTTTGTCGAGTGTTTTCGCTGTCACTCAAAGGGTCATATTGCGTCAAAATGCCCACAGCGTACTCTAGTTATTGACTCACAATATAAAGGTGAGGAAGACAATGCAAATGCTGACGTTGCCGTAGATCCAGTTGAGTGTCCTTCAGATGTCGATGAGGACATCATCATTGATGAACATGGGTGTGAGACACGTCAAGTTGGAGTTATGCGATGCATTCTATCTGTCCCTCTGCCTAGTGATTCATGGAAGCGAACAAGTATTTTCCATCCTTTTGTGAAGTGTGGAGATAAAGCTTGCAAATTGGTGATTGATGGAGGGAGTTCTAGAAACATTATTTCTAGTCAAGGAGTAGCTCGACTCAATCTCAAGACAGAACCTCACCCAGAACCTTTTCGTGTTGCATGGGTCGACAAAAACTTCTTTACCAGTCATGCAACAATGTCACGTTCCTCTTCACTTAGGTGACTATAAAGAAGAGATTATTTGTGATGTTCTTCCAATGGATGTTGCTCACATTTTACTTGGTTGACCGTGGCTTTATGACCACAATGTTATCAATCATGGTCGTGAGAATACCTATACATTTAAGCATGGAGGCAAGACGATCCTGTTACATCCTACTAAGCCTGACAACGAAAGCAAGGGCTCAAGTAAATCAAAAAGCACAAAATCCAAAACCCACAATTTGCATCTTCTGACAAAAAAACAGTTTGTACAAGAAAGCAGAAAGAGTACGATTGTGTTTATTTTGGTATCCAAGATCTCGCAACGAATTGCTACTACTTCAAAAATGCCAGCGGAAGTGCAACAACTCTTACAACAATTTCGGGATATCACTCCCGATGAGCTTCCATCTGAATTACCACCAATGAGAGATCCAACATGCAATTGATTTCATTCCAGGTTCACAACTCCCCAATCTATCACACTACAGGATGAACCCTAAAGATAGGGCAGAGCTTAACCGACAAGTCAATGGATTGTTGGAAAGGGGTTATATCCAGCATAGTATGAGTCCTTGTGCAGTAGTACTTGCTATTTTAACCCCAAAGAAAGACGGCTCTTGGAGAATGTGTCTAGACAGCAGAACCATCAACAAGATCACCATCAAGTATAGGTTTCCCATTCCTAGACTTGATGACATGCTTGATTTAGTGTCTGGATCTAGTTGGTTTTCAAAAATTGAACTCAGAAGTGGTTCTCATCAGATTAGGATTAGGCCTGGAGATGAGTGGAAAACTGCTTTTAAAATGCAAGATGGGTTGTTTGAATGGCTTGTCATGCCTTTTGGGTTATCAAATGCACCAAGTACATTCATGAGAGTAATGACTCACCTCCTTCGCTCTTACTTGGGAAAGTTTTTGGTGGTATTCTTTGATGACATACTATTTTTAGCAAGTCAAGAGAAGAATACTTGGGACATCTCGAGTTAATTTTCTCACCTTGCGTCAAGAACAGTTTTATGTTAACTTGCCTAAGTGTTCATTTCTTCAAAATCAAGTCATCTTAGGTTCATAGTTTCTGAAAGGAGTTTAGCAGCTGACCCTGAGAAAGTCCAAGCCATTCAAGAATGGCCTGAGCCACAATCTCTCCACGAAGTACGGAGTTTTCATAGTCTTGCTTCTTTCTATAGACACTTCATTAGAAACTTCAGTACCATTATGGCTCCCATCACCGATTGCTTAAAACAAGACAAGTTTCAGTGGACATCTACAGCTTCCATGGCTTTCCAAGATATTAAGAAGAAGCTTTCTCAAGCTCCAGTCTTGTCTTTACCTGATTTTACAAAGTGTTTCGAAGTTGCTTGTGATGCGTCTGGGACAGGAATCGGAGGTGTACTAAGCCAAGAAGGCCACCCTGTGGCTTTCTTTAGCGAAAAGCTCAATGATGCCAAACAAAAGTATTCCACTTATGATAAGGAATTTTATGCGATTGTGAGATCCCTTGAGCATTGGAAGTACTACCTTCTTCCGCAACAATTTGTTCTATACTCTGATCATCAGGCGCTTAGGTTTATCAACTCTCAACGGCACTTAAATGCTAAACATGCTAAATGGGTTGAGTATATTCAGGGATTCACTTTTGTGGTCAAGCATCATTCAAGAACAGAAAACATAGTGGCTGATGCCCTGAGCCGTCGAATCAACTTGTTGCACACTATGAGCGTTAGTGTTGTTGGTTTTGAAAACTTGAAGGACGACTATGCTTCATGTCCAGATTTTGGGAT